GATGGTAAACACCCCTCTGCCATTAGTTCCTCCGCTCCAGAATGATCCAATTCAGATCTGTTGTTCCCACTGGTTGAACACGCTTTGGAATCGATTCTTTTCAAAAGAACCATCAAAAAACTAGTATCAGGAAACAGCGTTTTTTTGTTTGTTTTTTTTGTGTGTTTGTCTCACTTCATCACGATTGAAACTGAACTCAATAGGATCCGAACCGGTTTCAAGTGGGAACGACGGTCATGTAACCCAATCGCTTTAAATCATGGTGGGAACGAGGCCTAATATACTAAAAACAAAAACAAAATCCTCCTAAGTCACTACCCATCTTGGCTACCCTAGGCATGCTCAGCAACGTAATTGGCAAATCAAAGAGGAAGGTCTTCAGCCCTTTACAAAAGTGGATCAGATCCTCCTCCAGCCGGAGGTGTAAAGGAGGGCTGTTCCACCAACACAGAGCCGGATCCTGAAAGGCTCATAGCCTTGACAGAGCCATATGTGTTGGTAGGTCTACCAATAATCCTTTGTCTGCCGATCTTAAATTTCTAGATGGTACATACCATGCTAGCTGTGCTGCCAAATATGTTGGGACGTTAAAGCGCAGGGCCTTAAATACTAGAACCAAAAGCTTATAATGATCCCTGGCCAGAACTGGAAGCCAGTTGAGGGATCTATGGACCTTATCATATGGGAGAAATCTCGTGCAGAAATGGGATTTAAAAGCTGGGGAAAACCCGCAAAAGCGGGTTGATTTTTACACACATCACTGTTAAAGTGTTGTTAACCAAAAAGAAAGAAGTAAAAAGCCGCTTCTTTTTACTTTTGGGATTTTCCTAAAGTAAAAAAGAAGTGGCTTTTGACTACTTTCCGTTCGGGTTAACAACACTTTAATATCGATGTCATCTGAAAATTTACCTGCTTTTGTGGTTGTTTTTTCCCCCTATTAAAACCCCATTTCTGCACGGGATTTCTCCTGTGTGATAAGGTCCTATGAAAGGAAGAGACATGAGCATTTGGGGAGATTTAAAACAACGCGGACACCACTGTTTTGGATTAAAACCAGAGGAGTAAGAGAGTAGGAAAGCAAACCTGACAGTAGGCTATTACAATAGTCCAGGCATGAAATAACCAAGGCCTGGACGAGCAAGTGGGCAGTCTCGACCATTAAAGACCTACGGATCCTATAAATGTTCAGAAGATGGAAGTTGCATGCCAAGCAGTTGCCCCAATAAAGGGGTGTAAGGACGAATGATCATCTAGAAGGACTCCAAAGTTTTTGGCCACAGACAGATGCCAGTGTGTAACCCTGTAAAGCCAAGGAAGGGCATGAAAGTGGGGCTACTGAGCGATCAGGCTGAAACACTAGGGATCTCTGTTTCACCCATATTCAGCTTAAACCAAACTAGCTATTATTATTATTATTATTATTATTATTATTATTACCCTAAGGCAAAAAACTATGATGGGGTTTTCTTGGCAAAATTTGTTCAGAGGCCAAATCTTCCCCGTACGCACCTAATGCCTCATTGACGGGTGGGATTTGCTGTCTGTGGATCTACCAAACAATCATTAGTTCGTATAAATATAAATAGTCCATACAGTTTTAAAGCAAGAGATGTGAGGGTCCATTAGGCGTGCATATTTAATTGGAAAAAGTCTGATGACTACACATCCCAATAAGCTTTTGATAAAACAAGAGCTGGACACGTTTTGACACTGCCAACTTCTTCAGTGGCCAATACTGAAGTTCTTTAAATCTTCCAGTCCTCCCCACCAGTGTAAAATTATTGTATTAGTGTAAGAGAATTATTACACTAAATATTAGTGTAAAATTTATTGCAGAATAAGAAAAAGCATCCCATCTCCCTTCCCTGGCAACAGCCTACAATTCTCCGACAGTGTCTCTGCACTTGGATCTCCAGGATCCAAATTGTTGTTGATTTCATTGCCCTGTAAGACTGCCCTTCTTCTGTTGAAAAAGAATATAGAGAATGAATTGTCTTCCCTGGAAGTTTCTAAAAGCAGCAAGCCACCTTTTTTTAATATGCTACACACAAGCATAAAAATATAAAAGAATACAATAAGAAAACAATGGTATAGAAGTTACGTAAAAAGCAACCCCCTTCCCAACCCCCAAATCCCAACATTAACCAAAACAGTTAAAATATAGAGTAAAACCAATTAAAAATGGTCCCAATAAATTGGCTCAAATGTCAGCTAAAATGTCACCAGAAGTTGGAAATAACTTGAAGGCACCCAACATACACATGGAAAAGGAGATCTATCTATATCTTTAGACCAAAGTAGTGTGGCATAGTGGTTTGAGTCTCAGACTATGGCTCTGGAGACCAGGGTTCGATTCCCAACTCAGCCATCAAACTCATTGGGGGACCTTGGGTGAGTCACACTCTCTCAGCCTCAGGGGAAGGCCATGACAACCCCCCCCCCCCGTGAACAAATCTTGCCAAGAAAACCCCACAATAGGGTCGCCATAAGTCAGAAACTACTTGAAAGCACACAACCCACATGCACAAAAACTCATGCTACAACTTCTTTTGCACAGTTATTCTCAAAGGTGCTGCAAGATCCCTTCACTTACTGACGACACATCTTTAATAGTTGTGTAAAAAAGATCATCCAGGCAATACTAGAAATAAATAAATAAACAAAATAGGAAGCTGCCTTGCCAACTTAAATTCTTCCATTTACACATGTCTTCAAAGTCAGAGTGACCAGATGTCCTCCTTTTCCAGGACATATTCTACATTTCAACCTTGTGTCCAGAAGGCATTCCAAAATGTTTCCCATTTTACATTTATATGAGGGTTTGTTAGCTTTTATTTGGTCATCCCCTCCATTTTTCTTGTATGTCCTACATTTTGCGGTGCCTTTTCCTCCTTTGCAGTTGGGACATCTGGTCACCCAGCTTCAAGGCAGAGGAGCTCTGCCCTCTATTACATGTTGGCCACCTAGCCCTGACCAGGCTGCACCATTATGTCTCAGGTGCTGCTTGCAAGGAGGGCCAGCATGGTGTAATTGTTTGCACATTACACAAGAACACTGGGAGACCAGGGTTCGAATTCTGGCTCAGCCTTGAAAACCTACTGGGTGACCTTTGGCAAGTCACACTCTCTCAGCCTCAGAGGGTGGCAAGGGCAAGCCAAGAAAACCCTGTGACAGGGTGACCAGATGTGCTCACCACAAAGGAGGGACCCCCCAAGGCACCCTAAAATGTAGGACACCTAAGAAAAATGTAGGACACCCCTAGGAATTTTGAGCTATGTAGACAGATCTTGTAGCCCCTTTGAGACTAACTGAAAGAAAGAAGTTGGCAGCATGAGCTTTCCTAGACTTCAGTCTACTTCATCAGATGCATTTGGAATTTTACATTCATGCTTTTTAGCCATGCTCAAAAATGGAGAACATGCTGGAGCTGAAATGGAGGACAGGTCCTGGAAAAGGAGGTGGATGCCTGGTCACCCTATCCTAACCACAAAGGAAGACAAAATGTTGTACCGACTCAAGAAAAATGGAAGACATGACCCAATGAAAGCTAAACACACCAATATCAATGTAAATCCATGCTTCTTAGGACAGGTCCGGGAAAAAGAGGACGCCTGGCTACTCTGCCCTGTGATAGGTTTGCCTTAGAGTGGCCAAAAGTCAGAAAGAGACTTGAAGGCACACAATAACAACAACAACAACAACAACAACAACTTCTTAGCCATGCTCAAAATGGAAGGCATGCTGGGATTCCTCCTGGACAGAAAGCTGAAATGGAGGACAGGTCCGGGAAAAGGAGGACGCCTGGCCACTGTGCCCTGCGATAGGTTTTCCTTAGAGCTCAAAATGGAAGGCATGCTTGGATTCCTCCTCCTGGAAAGAAGGCTGAAATGGAGGACATGTCCGGGAAAAACGGAGGAGGCCTGATCACCCTGTCCTTACCACAAAGGAGGACAAAATGTAGGATAATCTCAAGGGGAAAAAAATGGAAGACATGACCCAATGAAAAGTTAAAAACACGAATATCCATGTAAATTCATGCTTCTTAGCCATGCTCAAAATGGAAAGCATGCTGGGATTCCTCCTGGACAGAAAGCTGAAATGGAGGACAGGTCCGGGAAAAGGAGGACGCCTGAGCCACCCTGCCCTGTGATAGGTTTCCCTTAGAGCTCAAAATGGAAGGCATGCTAGGATTCCTCCTGGACAGAAGGCTGAAATGGAGGATAGGTCCGGGAAAAGGAGGACGCCTGAGCCACCCTGCCCTGTGATAGGTTTGCACAGCCCAAATCTGGCTGCCTTTAGGACCCTGAGCATGCAATTTAAAACAATGCCAAGCCTGCGCTGCTGCCTCTGCTTGCATCCCTTCCTGGAAACCGAAACCAATTCCTGGGGCTGGCTTCCCATTGGTTGGGAGGAATTTGTGTCTGGCTTCCCATTGGCCAAGAGTAATTTTGGGCTTTGACTCTCTCTTCCTCGTGAGGCATGAGGCCACAAAGGGACCTGAGTGCAAAAGAGGCGGATCTTCCATTTTAGGCTGCGGAAAGGAAAAAGGAAGGAGGGTGTGGCTCTCAGCAACAGACAGGTAAATAAAGACCCTTTGTATTACTGTGGTGTGGTATCCCCTCCTCAGCCCATCTTTTCCTCCCAGGGTTGGGGAAAAAAAACCTTTTTTTTTTAATATAAAAAAATAGATTTCAAAGATATATTCCTGTTAAGAAATCAGGATGCAAAGGGATCTTGCAGCACCTTTGAGACTAACTGAAAGAAAGAAGTTGGGAGCATGAGTTTTGCTAGACTTGAACCCACTTCCTCAGATGCATTTGGTAGAATTGAGAGAGTGAAGCTGGGCTTTGTTAGACTTGAACTCACTTCCTTAGATGTATTTGATAGAATTGAAAGAGGAGTTGGGAGTATGAACTTTGTTAACTTGAACTCACTTCCTTAGATGCATTTGGTAGAATTGAAAGAGAAGTTGGGAGTATGAGCTTTGCTAGACTTGAACTCACTTCCTTAGATGCATTTGGTAGAATTGAGAGAGAGAAGCTGGGAGTTTTGCTAGACTTGAGTCTTGATTTCCTCAGAGGTATCCTTTCAAATTGGTCTCAGAAGTTCTACAAGAGTCCTTTCCAGTGTTGCTGCTGTTGTTGTTGTGTGCCTTCAAGTTGTTTCTGATGGCAACCCTAGGTTTTTACAATAACACCTCCACACTCCAAAAAACTGGGTGGTGGTTTGTGGTTTTTAAACTGGTTTGTTTTTGGTTTACACTAGCTTTTTGCATTAACGTTTAATGGGGAAAAATGGAAGACAAAGAGGTTGGAAAACAGTAACAATAGGCATATATATATATATATATATATATATATATATATAT